ATTTTCAGTTTTCCATTCACCAAAAACGTGAACACGTTAAAGGAACGCTGTCCATACCAGTATCTTTTTTATACAAAGCATCTGTGTAACCTTACAAAGTAAAACTGGTAACTGTTTTTCTGGCTCTGCCCACTGTGGTTGAACTGAGTCATTTAAATTATTTGTGCCTCAGGAGCAGGTCAGGTTTGTACAGCCAACATTCTAGGTTGAAGGTTGTCCTACTTATGCAGGAGACACTCTTTAATTATGGTGCAATATCTGTAGTGAACCTGCGAGCATTCTTCTAGAAGATGCTCCAGCTAATATTCCTGCTGACCTTTGTCTTAACATTGCAATTACTTGCATTCTGAGAAACCTGCTTAACTTTGTGTAGGAGGACTTCTTTACCCCTACAAGTCAAAAAGCAACTGAAATCAACATTTAAATAATACTGTTGCCTTTTGTTGTGCAGTCCATAATGATAAGTTAATTATTCAGGCAACTTTATGAACCCATTATAGGAGGATATCCAAGCTCAGTGTGTAATCGCTATTCAGTAACATATCAAAAACATTTATAAACTGTCTTCTCTGCTTGTGGAATCCAATACAATAAAACAGGCAAAGGAATATTTTATTTAATACAGAAAGTCAACTTTTGTGTCTAAGTAGGTGGTCTTTGTGGTTTGTCCTTTTGTATTTTGTCTTCAAGTAGGTGTTTTGATGTTTGGAGCATATTCATGGGCATATTTTTATATGACTTGTCCTTGACCAAAAGCTTCTTTTAATGAGAATTCCCACTGTGGAGCTTTTACAGTCACTGCCTCTGGCTTATTATATGACTGTTGAAGCAGCTCTCTGTGTTTTCAGGCCTGATTTCAGTTCTGAGCACAATACACGGAAGGAGAGAGGTGGTAAAGGAGATCAACAAAAAGATTATTTAGATTCCACTATTTTCATGCCCCTTAGACTATTCTACCCTCCCATCTCTCTCTCCCCCACTCTCTCTCCCTCTCTTTTGCTCTGTCTCTCTCTCTGTCTCTCTTTCCCTGTTTCTCTGTCTCACTCCACCCTTCTAACTCCTTCCACCTTGCCTCCTCACATCCCAAATCTTCTCATTTAGATTAGCCCTACCGCAGTGAATGTAACTGAGTAGAAATGGATAGTTTTCACGGGCCTCTCTCTCCCCCTCTCTCTCTTCCTCTCTCTCCCTCCCCCCTAATCTCCTCCATGTACATGACACTAATACAGAGACTGATATAAGCTCCCCTGCCTCTCTCTATGACATTTATCACTGTGCTTCTTAATGCAGGCAGGCTGCTGCTGTTGATGAGAAATAAGGATGACAAGCATGGCCTATTTTCTTGCTAACGATAGTCTCTCTGCTTTTTTTCTTTTTTCACTTTTTTGGGAAAATATGTTCACAGAGAAGTGTTTACTAAAGCGTCTCATTGGGCGGTTGACAAGGATTTGACACTGATGTTGATCATGCATCTGGCACATTTTTGTCAGAGCTAATCCAGGGTCCATTAGCGTTTTAGATTGTAGTAAGTGATGTCAGAGAATGCCTGCAGAAACCTTGCATCTGATAAAAGGTGTTTTTATACTGTACACAGATATATTTTTAGCCTTTTCAAAAGGCATTCAACATCATATGGTGGCATGATGAACTTATGTCATCACATGTTCCCATTGATCTTTATAGGGACTTGATTACAACGTGTCCATTTTTGGATGTTATATTTAAAAGTGTCCCACCTGAAACTGGCCAGTTAAGTGAAATATAAAGAAATATTTAGACATTTTGGAAAATACACTTATTTTATTGCCCAGAGTAAGAGACACTAAGTCGAGAAGATCAATATCCATTTCATGTCTGTCTGTTAAGTATGGAGCTGGAGTCAGGAGGTGATGAAGGAAGCACGTCCTCTGGGATAGCTGGGCTAGGCTCTGTCCAAAGTTCAAAAGTACACCTACCAGCACCTTTAAACTACTACTGATTGACATGGTGAATATTGTTTGTTTAATCTGAACACAAAAAACAGAAGGTTGTAGTTTTACGGGGAGTTATGTGCTGTAATTATGTTATTTCCTCTCACCTACGTAACTATTAGGTGAATAATAATTAGGCGAAATATTTCCTAAAATGTCAAATTATTCCTTTAATTTGGTTCTGATTGAGGAAGTAGACCCTCTGTAAATGCAAACCAATTAAGGGGCCAGTATACGCCGTCAGAACTGATTGTCCGATGGTTGAATAGCTCCAGAAACTCCCTCCTACCACACATTTACATCGTTGGATTTGGGGGATTGTAACTTTAAAATTGACAAGCCGAAATTCAGACTTTACACAGTGATTTGTTCAGCGGTACGGAGGTGAGAAAGGAGCCTGGGATTTGATATTTTCACAATAGCTCTCATTTTTCATTCTTGACACAGCTATTTCTGTCAACACTATGAATTACTTCCAGGAGAGACTGTCTAAAAATGTGCTCTGGTATCCCGATATTTAAACAATGTCGCATCTCCCCCCTGTATGATAGCTGGCTTTTACTCCACCTTTCACATATGGACTAGGTATAAATACTTTGATGTCTGACACGTTTAAACAAAACATCATATTAGTCACTTCTTTTCTAGTATGACCCAGCCCCTAGAGCAATATATTCTCTCGCTACAGCTATAGCTGTATTCATCAAGTTGACCTTGTTCACTAAGAAAAAGAAGCCGCAGCTACCTTACAGTCATCACAAAGGTAACAGAGTTTGCTTACACAAGATAATTTCTGTTTGAATATCATCCCTCAGCTTTGCACTCAGAGAGGAAAGTGGAGAGGAAGTCATGCTGCTCCTGCAAGTGACCCACGATTTATTGAAAAATGAACATGCCAGCTCTAATGGGCGTTTGTAGGAGCCTTGTTCTTTATAGCCTGTACAGAATAATAGATTTTTAAGCACTTGATTAACAGAAGAACGACAGCGACCAAAGACCTTCCACAAAAGGCCATTATTCAGCTGTCTCACACTCTAAGGTCACTTGATTAAATGCCCACTAATGCTTAAGATATAAATGTACACAATCAAAAAATTAAATACACGTTTTGGCTCACACATTGTAGTTTTCCATGCAGTCTGTAAAGTTTGCAGAGAGTGAAAACTAGGACAGGCAAAGTTGGATTCATCATCCTTAATGCCTTCTGTCACTTCAATTGGATATCACCAGACACTGTCCCCTAATTTAGACATCATATCCTGTCCCAAGAGCCCCGCCTCATTTGCCCAACCCGTCTGTCTCACCCTGGCATAACCCTCTTGCATTCCCAATGTTGGACCAGAGCAAGAGAATGTTTGAAATCAAACTGAGACCTCTGCTCTTAACTCATCTGCTTTCCTCTCTCTACCAAAAACCTCTTCCTACTTGTATCTCCTCTCGCTGAATTCCTCCTCTCTTTCATCTTCTCCCTGTTTTCTCCTACACCCTCAGAATGAACAATTTGTATGAATCAGAGGCTCTCCTGGATCCGGGTTCACTTATAGTGACATCTCCCCACTGGTTTTGTCAGCTTTTATAACTTATACTCGCCAGTGCCATACAGATCATTATTTGATGTCCATTGTGATTTTATTGAAAGAAAATAAAACAAACGTCATTCTCTCACTGGTGGTGCCCTGGCACGTAACCCCACACAGTCCTCATTTCAGCCAAGCTCAGATTGTTTGATTGGCATTCACCGCTGTGTTTGCCAGGAGTGCTGGCAGAACCTTGCTGTTATTTGCATAAAACAGCAAGGGGTTCAAATTTCCCTGCTGTTCTGCGTTCCGCTGCCCTTGCTGCACCCCAAAGAAAAATCAGCATGCAATTCACAGAAAGAAAAAACATTAGCTGGCCTTGTGCAGTTCTGCACTATAGGCTCAACACATCTTGCCTGGTTTGACACTTTCTTTTCTTCTCTTTTTAGCCCAGCGTGAATCCACTTGTACAAATCCTACACTATCTGAGCCAGACCTCTTTTCTCTCTCATATTCCTGCAGAGAATCCTCTTAAAATGTCTTGGCATGAGTCTTGCTCCGCAGTGTGAACCTTTTACCTTTGTGCGCTGCTGATCAGTGAGATCTGGACTGGGTCTTGGGTTGACAGCAGGTGATCACTCTGCCCTGTGGTTTGACTAGCTGACCGATAAGAGAGGCATGGGGAGGAAGCAGTGAAAGCAGAGGATGGGAGGATGAGAAGGAAGAAAGGATATAAGGAGTGGGTATAATTAGGAGGCTGGGAAAGAAACAGAGGGTAAAAATGGGAGGGCTCGAGGGATGTCGAACATTGTGGCATTGCACGACTGTGTGCTCATTTCCACTGAACCTCTTTAAATAACCCCTCTGCCTGTCGGTCCTGTGTGTCTCTGTCTCTGTCTCTGTCTCTTTGTCTGTCTGTGTGGCTCTTCTGGGCCAATACCTCTAACCCATGGCAAAGAGAGCACAGGGCACAAAACAAACCGTTTTTTGCTAATGCTGTAAAGCTATCTCTCATTTTTGTTTCAATCTTCGACTGAAACAAGAGTGGAGAGGCAAACCTGGCTCACACCAACATGAAGTATAGAACAAAGGATCGTTACAGTATTAAAGGCTTTTCCCCAGCTGGCAAAGGGGGGCGGGGCGACAAAAACTGAAGTGCCAGCCGCTGGACAGACATGTGTATAGAGCAACATGTCTGCAAAATGCAGCACAACAAGCCGCTGGGAGAGAATGAATGAGTCCCATTCAGCCTGATCCCAGCAATGACTGCACCCTTACCAAGGGATTACACTGAGAAGAACATTACTACACACTTGTAAGAGGATTGTAACACACGTAGAAGAAGACACTACTACTATCACTACAGCACACTTACAATACAAGAAGAACTGTGAATACCTCCTCCAAAACTGAGCAAGACTTCCTTAAAAACAGCCATCAATTCCTGCCCTTTTTTTCTTTTCCTCCACCCATTTTTCCATCCCTCCTTCCAACCCCTTCATCCCCTCTACAGAAGCCTTGGAGGATCCGTCCAGTGCCGGCGTTGTGGCGGGCGCCGTGATCGGCTCCCTTCTGGCCCTTCTATTGGTTGTCGCGCTCATTGCCGTCCTTCTGAGCCGAAGTCGCCGGCAGCAGAGACGTGGCTACCCCAGCAGCGGGGACTCCATAGCTACTGGGAGCGGTGGCAGCAATGGCGGAGAGTATGGCAATAAAGCTCGCCTGCTCTTCAGTGGAACTGGCAATAACAGCAGTAAGAACGGGACCGGGGCGAACAACAATGGGCCCATCTACACCTACCGGGAGGGCTGCGACGCCACAGGGACTCTAACGGAAAAGGCCAACGACTACCACCACCACCATCTCCACCATGCCTCAATTGGCAAACCCCCCTCCGCCCACGACATCCTCCTTAGTGACGAGATGGATGAAGCTGGGAGGAGGAAGTTTGAGCTGGATGATAGCATGGAGGAAGAAGAAGAGCGATACGATAGGTTTGGAGTCGTCGGGGGAGGCGGGAACATGCTACCTCCAGTCTATCACGTCCGCAGAGGCCATGGTGGTGAAGAAGAAATGGATGTGTACCTCGACGACGACATGGAGTCTCAGAGAGACGGCTCTGTTATTTCCCGGACTGCCATTTATGTCTAAGGACGTAGAGAGGAAAGGAAAGGTGAGGGCTGAGAATAGGGATAAGAGATGTGGTGGAGGAAGAGGGGAGTTCGAGCCAGGCCCCTTTGCCACCAATTAGAACAACATCGCTTCCATCAGCTAAACACCTACCTGCTTAACATTCAACCTGATTAAAGAGATGCCATCACTTATATCCTCTCTGCTTGACACCGACTGTATAATTTTATAAAAAGAGGATTAAAAGAAAAATAATAGAAAGGAAGTCGAAAGGAAGTCGAAATGAAGTCATTGTGAAACTGATGAACGAAAACTTGTGATTGCAGTAGTGCACTGTGGCTGAATGTGTGACTTTGTTGTCTGTATTATGGAGACAAATTTCATTCAGTGTCAGCCAAATATACAAAATGGAAAAAAAATACTGCAAAAAGCAAACAAAAACCAGAGCGACTCTGATGCGATGCTGCTTATTGCTGCGTTCTTGTTTCTTCAGCTTTGCAAGTGTGTGATTGTGTTGAGTGACTACATTGTTTGTATTTTATACCTTATCAGGAAACATGATTGCAAAACCGGGAGCACGTTAACCACTATTCCAAAATAAGCACTATTCAAAAATCGCCTTCCTTGTTTTAAAGTAAATGGAAAAAAACCTTTATCATGTCGATCTCTACATAAAACTGTCCAAACAGCTTCTGTGGATGTTGCCTCTGTGCTGCAGACGCCAGCTCTTCTAACATGCCTGGGACTTCACCCCAATTGTTTAGAAAGTTGAAAAGCCAAACTCGACGTCCTGGCAACGATGATGGAGTTTCTGTTCATCCCAGTGATTACTTTTTTGGGACTTACAGTAACTTGGGGGTTCCCGCCCCACCCTATGACACCACCTGGTTTCCTGATGGGTGCCACTGAAGCGAGGGCCACTAAACTGAGTAACATAACAGACTTAACAGTGTGTGCTAATGTGTGGCTGGCTGTGGTGTTAATGATGTGCATCATCTATATATTGGGCGCCGTCTCACTATAGCACAGTTGTTATTGTTGTTGTTGTAGATGTTGTTGCTGTTGTTGTTGTTACTGTTGTGTAATGGTGTTGATCTAGCTAAAGAAAAGACGCACCAAGAGCCTTGGGGTTTTCACACAGTACCACATTGGGCCGGTAATGACTCATTTAATGGGTAAAAAAAAAAAGATGTGCTTTTCTTTATTTTCTAACTATTTTTCCCCTTTCCTCTTTAAGTCTATTCTCTCTTTCTCTGTATTTACTCTCTTTATTTCTGCTCTTTTCTGCCTTTCTTTTTTCTTTTTCTCTGTCTGTTCCACATACATCCTGCACCATTTGTATGTTTTCCTGACACTGTCCCACACCCATTACATCTCTCTCTGATTTTGCTCTTTCTTTATTTACATAATGGGCGGCTTAGACGAGTGCCGCAATGACTGTGTGCAGGGAGAAGGGGATAACTCGTATTTATATTCCTAACTGGGTCGCATTCAACGAGGCAAAATATTCACTGGCTTTGTTGGAGGCTGCTGTATTTCATGTATTCATTTTTTTTTTTCATTCATGTCCCACAGAATGTTCTTAGGCTATGTACCGGATTATTCCATGTTCTGTATTCTGATTGGACAGAGAGACACGGTCTAAGACACATTTCAAGAGAGGATGTGAGAGCAGGCTAAATTAAATCCCAAACCTGTGTTTCTTGTACACTGCAAAACTACAGTTTTGGATGGATATTTTTTGCAACACATTTGCTGACGCTTAATAAGAGTTGAGAACTGAGATGCAGCTCTTAAGTTTCTGGAACACATTTGCCTTATTGAGTCCCACAATGTTCCTACTCATCACTGTGGAGGGAAAATCTCTGAATCATAGAAAAACCACAATGGAAGTGCATAGAGAGCATGGTCAAAGTTAGAAAAGATAGTGAGCAAGGCCACAGTTACAGAGAACTGAAAGAAGAACACACTAGACTATTGTTACATGCTTTGGCAGCTGAACTGAGCACACCCTCTGCTTTTCAAGCTCAACATGTCACATCATAACCACACATTTACTTACTGTAGACGTACAGTGTTTGACTTTGGTGGCTGGAGTCATTTTTCAGTCAAGGGTACTGTGTCTAAAATTAAAAAATAAAACAGTATGGTATATATTTACAATTTTGCATAATTTTAGTCAAATCCACTACAGTGTATTTGTATCTTTGGGATGTTCTTAATACCACACAAGTAATATTTATGGGAAAGGATCTGAAAAGGGAATCTTTAAGGAATGTGATGATCTTCAACACTGGAAAGGTCAGTACATTTTGAGTGGGTTAACTGGCCTGCTTACCGAAAATGATTGAATACTCATTTTACGTCTTGTCCCAATTCTTTTACTATGTCTCATTACAACGTAAGACTATATTGTGATAATATTTAAGATGTTATTACACAAAATGCTTTATATCTACTGTTCTGTGTGTTTATGATCTGAACACAGACTTAAATTGAAAGCTGAGATATTTCAGATTTGAAATTTGTTGATTGTTGTTGAACATTATACACTGTGCAATCTGTTATTCTGTAAATGAGACAGTTATATCTGCTATGTTACAATACATTTCAGTGGATACATTCCATACCATTTCACAGTGTGTTTTGGATAGGTTGCCAATTAATCTCAAAGTGACTGAGAAACAGCCATAATGTAACTTTTGTTGCCACACGTGTCACATGTAGTAGGTCTTGTTTATTGTATCACTGCAGTACAGTTTGGATTAAAGTATTGAAGTTTGTTTTTAACTCTGTAGGGTGCATGCACACTCCAAGATTCAGATGTTTAAGCTCTGGAGAAAGAAAAAAAAGACCTGTTTCATCATTTAGATAAAAAATATATGGTACAAGGTATCCGGTTGCAATTTGATCCTATAATTGATATTTACAAAAATGTTTTGTTATATTTGAAATACTGTGTTACAAAAATTTTAAATCTTTTATTTTCTTATTAGTGTTTAAAATATTTATGATTTTCACCCTGGCTTTTTGGAGGCACTCAGTTTCATCTCGCTCCAGCACATTTACCCTCTATTTGGCCATTGTATGCCTCAGCACTTCTTTTCTCCAGGGGTTTCTTGCAGCACCATAATTCGAAACAGTCGACTGTGATCACAACTTTGGGGCCTAATTAGTCCCAGAGTCTTGTAGCGTGCATGTACCCTTAGTGAGAAAACTCATCATCAGTCATAACTTTTGTTTTTGCACAACCCATTTTCAATAAAAAAAACCTTTATGAAACAATTCTCTGTGGAAAAACTGGTAATTAATTAAGCCGAGCCGTGTTATCAGTCTATAAATACCAGACTCCCACACCTCTTTCTTTCCTTAGCACATTTCACAGCACAACGCAGTATACTGCACCTGCTCTGGGATATTTAGCCTCCTCAACAGATCTGCTACAGGACATTATTCAAGTTTTGCTAACTTAAGGAGAGTCACACTCCTTTTGTCACTGCAACCTCTCTCAAGTTCAAACACTCTACACACAATACACAATCACACCTGGAAGCTACCCATTACATAACACTTTTGCCCACTGTGCAGCACAATTGAAAGCCCCATTAACACCAGGTATTAACAGGTGCTCTGTGTCTGGATATACGTCATTATCTGAAAAATGACATCTGATCCACAGGCCTTTGCATTTACAGTTGGTATTAATAAAAGCGCTTGCTCCATGTCAATTATCTCAATATGCAAATTGATTCAGTGAGGCTGGCGTTTAACAAACAAGGCCCAGGTTCAGAAAAGTGAGGTGTCATTTACATTCAAATCACTTTTTGTGTGTGCCATACAGATTACATTGTCTGAGATACAATCACAGTGCAAGTCAGACCACTTCTAAATGCGATCTCCTGTTTTTTCATCAAGATAAGATATCCAGATACATATCACCTTTTTATGCCAAATGCAAATGGGGTCGAAGGAGGAGTTTTGTGCTTTCTTTCCCGAACATCCACTTCTTCAAACAACTAAAATATTCTGTAATCTGCAGAAATGTGCTGTCAAACAATACCATACAAAAATGTGTGAATAGCAACGCCTTATAATTTACTTAATAAGATAAGAATCAGGCAACTATGAAACATATCTGACGTTATAATTTGTAAAGATTTGATATAAGCTGGGAAGAAGAAATTCAAGATAAAAATTCTTGATCTTTTTGTTAATTGAATTTAGAAGAGTTCAAAAGAGACTACAAAAAGGATCTGAAAACCTTCAGAAAAGAAAATTTAGGTTCTTTATGTTGAGGAGAAGATTAAAAAGCAACCTTGAACCTAATCTAATGAACTAATTCAAATGGTGCTTGACAAGATTATTTATCTTTGACGAGAAAAAATAAGATTTAATCATCCTTGAATAACACTTGCTTGAATTGCCCTTTTTGTAGTGAGTGAACCAGACTGTCCCGTGCAGCTTGTCTAGTGAGTCGAAAATGGGGTCATGCTAGTTACAAGCGTCCCTCTCTGATCTTTAGCCTGCTGCCCCGCCTCACATGGCGTGTGCTCTGGGGGGTTGCAGTACTGAACGCAAACCCTGTAAAGTCCTATCCCTGCTGCTGTGAGTGTGGCGCCCATGCTAAGCAGAGGATGCTGTAACAGGTCACTTGGCTCCGTTGGAGGGAAAGAGAGTGGAACAGAGGGAGGGGAGGATTGAGGATGAGGGTGGTAGCTCGGTACTCCATCTGGGGAATACCAAATAGGCCGGGAGAGAGACTTTTTCTTCTCAGATCAGAAAATTTGAAAGTTGAAAAAAGAAGAGAGGCAGAAAAAACTCAGAAACTGAAACCTCAGCCCCCTGCCGAGAGGATGAGAAGACATCGGCAGGTTTTTTTGTAAACCACCTGAGACTGAGAACATTTGAAACACTGTCAATTATTCACCATCGAGCCTGGAGTTAGAGATGGCCAGATTTGTTACTTGTGGAGCCCAATTGGTTGGCTGCAGTGTAGAGATGACAGAGAGTGTGTGAAAGGAATAAGAGATTGGCAAGATGGGATTTACAGCTCTGACAATGAAAGCTGGAGGTGGGAAGGAAGCCTCGGAGGAGTATTTTTGAGTGCTATGCCACCCCTACGCCTGGCGATTGGCTGCTTCCACCCAACGACAACTGACAGTCCTTTTCAACCCGGCCAATTAGTGAAAAAAAGGCTGTCCTGTTTAGCTTTCCTTGGTGCAGTCTATCTGCGACAGATCTTTTTAATTGTTAAGAATTGTTCAGCAGCACTCCAGGGACCCCTGAGCAGGGGCGGAATTGTATGTATCCTCCTTTTCCTTATTCCCTCTTTCTTTGCTTCAGCTTTAGCACCATGTACAAGCTGTTCTCTCCATGTTTAATTCAGTAGAAGGCATGAAAGTGTTCTGCATTATCTCTCTGCTTTGCTCTGAAGGAGAAGGAAGAAGGCAAGATAGAAAGAGAGGGAGAGAGAAGGGGAACAGAGTAAAGAGAGAGGAGGAAGAAGAGGCCTATTAGTTATTGAGCTCGGCTTTTGTTGTTAATCCAGTTAAAGCCGAGCCTCTGCCAGGCCAGCTGAGACTCTAGCAGATGTGGATGAAGTTTCCTCCTCCCAACACTGGTTAGAAGAGGTCTCATTGTACTCTGTAACCAATTTACTTAATGCAGCGCTGTCCTGCTTTCCTGCTTCTCAGGATACCTTCCTCTTCTCCCACTGTGCTGCTCTTGCAGTGTTCTGTGCTATACTTAGGGATGTAATTCTTCACAGATTTTTGTTATTTCAGGTTTTGGGTATGCATATTCTTATGAATGTCCATTCATTTCCAATGGGTGTGTGTAATTCTTTTTTATTATTCCTTTTCCAGGTGTGGAGGTTCAGGATGGAGACACATTAACAGTTTGAGATTAGTTCATCCCCTTAACATTTTTCCGATTTTTGCAGTCTTAGCTGTATCTGTGTAGCAGTGGTTCATAACCCTTCTTTGTGTGACATTCCCAGACAGCCCTATAAGATGAGCTCAAGTACCCCTTCATCAACACCAAAATGTGTTCTGTTGAATGGATTTTAATCAGGATGTTATTTAACTCTATTAATCACATAAAAGTGGATATTGTTACAATCCTTTTTTCATACAAAAAATAATCAAGCCTGGAAAGGTTGACGTCTAGGCTTAGTTTTTCTTTTTTTTTAAGTAGGTTTGGTCAAGTTTATAATTGTACTTCTCCTGCAAGGGATATGTTTTCAATCACATAACCATTATTTTTCTATTAGCTTCTATTTAAAATTATCTGCTCACTTGCAAACTCTGTGAGTGTGCATAGGAGGTGCGTCCTATACATATAATTATTCAAGATTAGCTTCACACCAATTGGTAATCATATGTGTTGTTTTTCTTTTGAGTGCCGAGTGTTTTTTCCTCCTACTCAGAGATATGTGGATTTTCTATATGATAAACAATTTCAGTTTAAATCTACAATCTTTCCAGGTACTTCCTGACAACTGCAGAAATACCCTCTGGGGAGCAAGTACCCCTGGTTGTGAATCATTGCTGTACAGTAGTTATGCACACTCTTCTTCAGCTGTAGATCAGTTGAAAGAAATGGTTTTAAGTTGCAAACTTGTTAGCAAACAGTGGCCTAGTTGCGGGCTGTAAAACCAAAACAATGGGCTGAAAGATGCTAAAAAGGTTCAGAATTAGGGGGAACTGAAGAGTTGGGTGATAATTATCTGTGGGTTTGTCATTACAAGTGACTTCACAAAAACACAGTCATATAATGCATTTTTAATATAAAAATATGAATTATAACAGCTTTAGCTTTACTTTACTTCTACTTTACTTCTAACAAGCATTGCTTATTCACACACACAATCCATCTGCCTGTCTTCATGCCTGTCTGTCTGTTTATTTATTAAAGAAAGGAAAAAAGAAATTCAGCTGGTCTTATCAAAATGAATTTCAGTTCTTGTGTCACTGTCAAGGAACCTTGATTGCTTTGTTTTTTTCTGTCCTTGTCACAACCTTCTTCTATTTTCAGGCCCTCTGTTCACTCAGCCCTTCAGTCTGAGTGGTGCTCAGCAGTTCTTCCTCTCATGTTCTATAAAATTTCAACTTACTTAAGAATCCTGGAGCACTTCTTTAATTAACTGCATCTAAAGAGCCCTCTATATTTGCTGTTTCTGACCGCATGAAATCCAAAATTCCATATAGCTGAGCCATTTACTTGATTCAGAATTATTAATGTGGCACTGTATCAGCTGACATAATGCTGGCAGCCAGGGATGCTACACTTCATCTTTGATGGTGACCTTAACGTTGATCTTCAGAAAAAGAAACATTTGTTCATTTCCCCATTAAAGGCATTTTTTATTGCTCATCTTTTTGTGGAGAGAGACATTCAGGCTTTTATTCCCTCCTGCCATGATGACCCCTAACTCCATTTATTCGAAAGTCAAAAGTCTCTTTGATGTTCCAACTTGTGCAGAAAACAGTTTTGATTTTATGTGGTGCCAGATTTTAACCTTTTATGAACCTGATTGTAACTTTAGATCTTTGATTAATTCTAAACGTGAATTTAACAATACAGGATGAGACATCGAGGAGCTCAGAGCAGCCCAATCAATGATTTGTTTTATAAGAAATAACTCTAACTTGGCAACAGCACAATGTACAGGTAAAGGTAAGAGGTAAATTTGAAAGAACGTAACCATAACATCTAATGAATCTTGTAATAAGATGTGATTACAATCAACATGCCACATCCCAGGCGGTAATGCTAAAGATGTGACATTAGTGAGTCCAGCTTTGTCTGTGTTGTTGAAGACTGTCAGATGTATGGTTTCTACCTCAATTTAAACAGAATTTACTTTGTCTACCACTAAGCTAGTTCTCCTAGAGCATGACTGTGTAAGACTGATGCAGTAGCATTTTTTACACAAATCTGGCCTAGCACATCTTTTAATAGCATCTTGTGATCTGCATGTACAGTTGTGCTTTTGTATTATGACCCATCACTTTTTGCTGATGTTTCATTGTCCTGGTTTTGGTGTCAAGAGAGTACTTCACTTCTTGAGACTTTAGATATGGATTCTCACAAGTTCTGAGAGTCAAAGCTAATGCCCAGTTGTCTTGTTTTGCACGACCAACAGTCTAAAACTGTGCACAGTTGTGACACTTCACAGAGCAGTATAAACCTACTTTAGTCACTGCATATAGAATTGACATGTAATTGATACAGTGTTGCCCTGAATGTCCTCAGTGCCTCAATACAGTAAGATAGTTTTGGCT